CTCTTAGGATTAATAAGTTTTTTTAAATATAATATAGGTAATTCTTAATGAATTTATCAATAGTTTAGATCAAAAATATTATATCTCTAAAAAGTATATGCAAAAATTATAATTTTTTTATATAAAAAATGGATTTATTTTATTAAAATCAAACTGTATAATATATGCATAATATAAAAATAATTCTTGAAACAGTTATAAATCAAACATATAGTCATATAAATAATATATATATATACTAGAGGTCTTCAATGCCTGACTCATGGGCTGGTAACTTCTGTTTTTTTATTTGAACTGGACTTGGCAAAAAATTTTATTGGTTTGGATTATTGCTGAATTCTGATAGAAGTGATAATCCAGAAAGTGCATTGTTCATAATAACTACACCTCAATATTATAAATAGCTGATTATTTTAGTTTTCAATTATATAAATTTTAGGCTGGGTTTTGTATTTAAAAAACCAGGCTGGGCAACCTTAATAAAAAAAAATTGAAATGGTTCAGGCTTAGCCAGGTAAAAATATGGTCAGGCCAGGCTGGGCAAAATCTAAATAACAAAAGGTTATAATTCTGCCATTTGCCGACCTCTAATATATATAATCAAAATAGCTAATAATAAACTGCATTTTTTGGAAATATCAAGAAGATCCAATATTTCTTAAAATGCTATGTATTTGTCCCAATCTGATATCTAATATGGGCATAGGCTTATTATATAAAAGTATGATTTGAATATTGAAGTGCATTACATACAGACTTTACTAAATAATATTTAAGTATAGTATTGCAGATTATAATTAAAAAATGATTCATTTACAACTCAAGGTACAAATTTCAGTTAACTAAATATTTATAATTTTATTAGAAATATATATTCTTTTAATACTAAAAAATTATTATAATCTATACTTGATTTGATTAAAAAAATTTAACACCTTCTAATGCTTAATAATTATTTCAGCTTTTTTTTGAGCTTCTAATTGTTTTAGAATTTGTAAAAAAGGTTTTTTGGCATTCCCAAAAATTTATTTATAGCAGAAATTGTTTAAAGGGGCCTCAATCATTTCATAAAATGTACAAACAGTATTTAATAAGCCGTTATTCATGGCCCATTTATATATAACATTGGCCCATTCTTCAATGCTGTACCATAATACATATCCACCTTTTGTTTCATTATGCCTGTCATGTCATTTAAAATTTCCTTTGATATATTATTCATCTAAAATTAGGATTATGCCCTCTTCTGATAAATTTATATTAATGGTGTGGTTTTTAAATAATATAATTTTGTTATCATATTCCGAATTAATAAAATGTGAAGAAGGTTCATGCTTAGGATTTTGGCAGAAAATTTACCCTACTGTCTGGGCCCGTTTAATTTAAGAGGAATTATGGTACCTCTCGTGAATGAATAGAGATTCACAAAAAATATTGATAGTAATTTACCCTACTATCAGCGCTTAATTTAAGAGAGGTTACGGTATCTCTTGTGGTTAAAGCAAGTATCCACTAAATTTTTAGTAAGAAAAGAGTTTTATATATAAAGTATTATTAAAAGGTAGTGGGATATATAAAGATAAGAATTTAGTAAAAAGAGAAAAGAAAGAATTGAGAATTAAATATAGAGATTATTAGGCAAATGAGATGTAAAGAAACATTTTATTTTA